TGGTCGCGTTATCGCTACACAATTTAATTTAATTTTATTGACATGTGATGACCATGGTTAAATTTTGCCACACAATTTTTATTATGATTTTATGATAGTATCAACTGATGTCCTTCCATATACACATACAAACGAAGCGTCAATGAGAAATTAATGCTCATTGACCGTTTTGTTATTGCCTTCATAAAAACTCTTCTTTATTGTTAATAATAAATAAATTTCTTCACTTACTAGCTTTCCTTTATGTTCATGTAATATGATATATACAGTCAGAAGTAAAAATTACTAGGAAAAATTGGAGATAAAGAATTTCTTGTAGATGGATTACATGCTGACCCAAATAAAGATTATTAATAGAGCATTTCGAGTTTATGATTATGACAAGTAATTAAATCCGTAATAATATGGATCAATATTTAGAAATGCCAAGTATTATTAACAGTTTACGATAGTTGATAATCCGTTATCCATGGCAAAATTGCATAAGAACGATTGAAATGGATCAGCTAATAGCTTTGGCCGTGACTAAACCCCACTTTTCATAATTACTAGACCCCCACGATCCTTCTATAAATTCGTCCAAGGTCAAACCAAAATCTCAGTCTACCTCAGCTTTAGCAAATAAATAAATTTTCATTTAATGCTTACCCATTAAAATTGTAAAAAAATAAACCAAACTGAAATTAAATAGAAGTTAATACTCTATACACAATGAAAGAACTTAACTGTTAACTATGTCTATATGTTTATGCTAACGATTTAATTTGTCAGAAATTTTTCCTCATTTCATTTATTATTTATACAATATCTGTTTCATACGTGTATACAGAACAGTTTTATACACATGTACAATATGTTGTGGCAGTTGAAGTCGTAAAAATCGGAAGCGTAAAGGAAACAATTTTGATACACATTAAGATCTCAATTCAATATACTTCACATGACGAGGAAATAAAGTTTTTCATGCTGTAAAGAAAATGGTGTCAGATATTGCAGATGAATTAATTTTTGTTGATACTATGTTGCACAGTATGTATGAAGATCGATCACATTTGTTGATTGAAAATATCTTCGATTTATGTAAGTTCAATTAAATTTTCAATATCCTTCATAATGAATTAGGAATTAAATTGGCATAGATAAATGTTTATCAAATTATAATATCTAGTGCATCGTCTATAAACTAATTTACTCTACACAGTGGCGTTGCCAATACTAATGAATCTTAAGCTCCTTTGATCCTCAGTCGCTAAATATTTCAATATCATTGAACATCCTCCTCTACCCCTTGAACCCTTGAATACACCCCCCCCCCCCAGTCTAATACAAGTCTCACCAAAAATAATAAATTTTTGTGTCCAAGTTCGTCTTGTTCCTTCACTCACATGATAAATTTATTTACAAAAACAGTTGTTCATGCAATGATGACACTGACCTCTTTCCTCATCATACTTTTCTTCTCCTCGTTCACTTATTTATTTATAGTGCCAATAATATATAATTTTTTTCGTCGCGACCAATGAAAATTTTTCTTGTTGCTTCTTGTTAATCGCTTTTGGGTGTAAAAATAGCGCATATTTTGGAAATGAAATGGGTAGGAGGAAAAAGTATTATGAAATGCTTTTTTTTTATAAAAATAAATGAAAAGGCATTTGTATGAAGAATGAGATACAAAAGGCGGTCTTCTTAGCATTAAAGCTGATATTATTGGAGGCATCGAGTAATTACGAGTATTTTAATTACTTTCATACTCTTCCTGAAAGTCTACAAAATCCTCTTAAATTTAATAAACGAATGCCATATTCTCGTGTCATGTAAGTTGACTTTTCCTTGACACGAGCTTTTATTAATCCTCGTGTCAAGCATTTTCTAACACCCACAAAAACTATGTAAGCACAATTTGAGAAATGAACAGATGCATGATTTAAATATAGTCAAAAATATTGCATAAGCAAAAGTTAAATAAAACTTAATCTCGTATAGCATTAATACCAAAAACTATAAACATACATCCATATAAAATACAATGAGAGATGGAAGGAAAAGGAAATAATTTTCGCTGCACAGCTGAGCAAGAGTCGTGGAAAATAAACTGAGAAGATTAATGTGCTTGCAGTTTTGTTTTTGTGGAGAATTTTTTTTCTTGCACCCATCCAATTGCTTTATTTCTCTTAAACTTGCGAGTAAAATTCCGACCGCTGTTACCAGCACAACGATAATAAATGGAAGAGGAAGAAAAATTAAAGAATACAAAAAGGTCAGTTGCAGAAAATTAATGAGATTCTGTCGCTCTTTACTTCCATATGGATCTTTAATTTTGTTTTTGCATTTTAATGTTACCTAGAGAATAGGTTTGGACACATAATGTTAAGGTTATTGTGGTTATGGCTATAAATTATAGAGATTATGATGCTTAATAAGAATGCATGAAAATATACGAACTTTGGAATTTAGCGATTTTATGTCTAAATTCCCAGGTTCCTAGAAGTCCAATTAAAATAAATTGGAATCTTTTCATATCTTCCTACTCCTGCCCTGATATTAAATTGACGATAAATAGTAACGATTTTTAATAGACTGACAACATAACAATTTTTTAAAATGAGAAACTTTTAATTTTCCAATAAAAAATATGAAAACAATTTTTTATGACTCAATAAAGCCACAAAACTGCAAAAAAGCCACAAAATATGAGAATTTAAAGCACTTCATTCTGTTACTGACTTTTTCATCTCACTCTCTCTCTGTGTTCAAAATTTCCAATAAAAGTTGCTTCAACTATTTTTCTATTTTTATATGCTTTAATTAAGTTTTATTTATGTTGTCGTATCAGAAGTGGAGCTAGAAGCTAAGCAAACTTTCAAACAAAATCTCTTTCTGCCCCATCATTTTTCTGGCTGCAACCCTGACTCCCTTATGAACTCAAAATTGGCAATGTTAATGCACAGACTTCCTGTCGCTGTTGTATCAAGAACTACGATTTGAAAACAAATTACTGTTTAGTGGTATTATTGCATATTTCACATAGCATGAGGGAGTTTAACATTGGTTAAAAGTTTGTTTTTTTGCGGAACTTGCAAATGTCACTTTTCATGTTTGTGGTCATGAGTGAACACTTTGGGGTTGAGAGAATCGAAAATTTATCATGTCAGTGGAAAAAGTTAAAATGTCATCAGATGAATTGTGGACAATTGTCAAGGCACAAATTTTAATTTTGTGGAAATTATTAAATGCACCAGCATCTAAAATCAAAACCAATGCTAAAAGGTACGAAGAAGTCATGAAAAATCCACAATCACAAATAATAAGTTCGTAAAGAACAATTCCATTTATTTACAATATCTAATCCCAGTTGTAGTCCCTGACAACAAAATTCCATTTTTCAATTAAACATGTCTCAATGGCTTATTAGAAGCTATTACCAAGAAAATAGAATTTCAAGGAAGAAGCATAAAAAGTTATTAATTTTTATTGCCCAACAATAAAACTTTCTCGAAATATAATTCCCGAATCCTCTTGAAAATAGCATTTAATATACTTAATGTTTAGTACTTTTACAAGTAATTTTATGTCTTAGAGGAGAGACTTTCCCGAATAAAATTATCGAGTCATGGCTGGAAACAAACAAGAAACTTTTTTCGCAAGTCTTGAAATTTTTTCAGCATTTTTATTGAATTTTGTTTGAAGCGTGGGCATTTTGGCTGTATGGAATCTAACTTTCATGTAAGGTGCTACCAATATGATTGTAGAGAAATTCATTATAAGAGTTGAAAGTTGTGGTACAGGTGGCGATACAGGCACCTGTGCTCAGGTGAGAGCCGAACAATTCCTTGAAATTTGCAAGGTTTTATTAGAATTTGTATGGTTTTGTTCAAAAAACCTTATAAATTATCAACGAATTGTACGGCTCCCACATGTATCGCAACCCTGTTTTGGAGTAATTAAGAGTTTTCTTTGACATGTGCTTGATCACCAAAAATGCGCTTTAGTAATCAATAATTTCAAAAACATTTGCATGCAGAAAACTTTTCTTCGCTCATCTACTGATGAGCAGGTCAAAAAAGAAAAGAAACTTGCTGCAAATGAATTCAAACAGATGTTTACATCATAAATTTTTCCGAAAAAAAAGAGAACTTGAAGAAAATATTTTTCTTTCTCGGGGCAAAAGTAAATCATCGATAGAGGTGAGATATACATTTCTAATATGTGCGCATAAAAAAGAAAGATTTAGTACATTTTTCTTGGCAATTGATGTATTAATTATAGGTAATAAAATTACAAAACTGACACTCACAATTTTCTCAATAAATTTTTCATTATAGACCAGCGACTTTTGAGCCGCGTGAGTTTCTTTATTGATGTGATTTATTGATTTCGATTTTTGGCTTTTCTACCTTTAATGATGAAAAATTTCTTCATCTAAAATTATTATTGTAGCTTTTAGCGTAAACATTAAGAAGAAATTACGTCTGCTCATTTATATTAGATGAACCTTAAGAATTATTGTCACGATTTGGCAATTGTCACATGACTTCTTCTTTTAACCTATTTGTCTGTTCATTTGTTTTTAAATTTCAATGAAATGATGTGTAAATTGATGAAAATAGCAAGTACTGCGACAAAAAGTTGTTGATTTAATTGAGATTATTTTTTTCAAAACTTCCTGTCAAGTTTACAAGAATTTTTGATCTCACTGTCTTTATTCAAGTTTTCAGACCTGTATTGTAGTCTATATTGATTAATTAATACTTAAACAATTTTTTGTCAAATCAGGACTAGCATCAGCTCAGAAATGCTTTCAATTAGACATCTAAACCTTTGTCATTTAATAATCTGTAGAATTTCCTGAAGAATCTTAATTCAGCAGCTCAATTCATTCAAAGATCAAAAAACCTTTCATTTTTTAAATGTTTCTTTATTTTATTTTAAAAGTACAGTAATTCATTTTACAGAATCAATATTAATATTAATTACATTAAAAATTATGAAACAAAATTCATTATAATTCATGTATTTGATCTGAGCGTCTTTGTTTTTAAAATAAGTAACAAAAGGCAGAGGAACTTAAAGGTTACGATTTGGTGGTTGAATAAAAAATTTTTTGTAATAAAGCCAAGAAAGAAAAAAAACTTTTTTTTTGTGATGATAAATTGGCAGTTGATTTAGTTGCCGCCTCGGAGACGCAAGACAACATGTAATGTGGTGTTGTGCTGAATTCCGTAGTCCTTGAGTGATCTATCATCTTCCAATTGCTTACCGCCCCAAAGTAGTCTGGTGGAGTTAGGAAGGGGAGAAAAAAAACATTTTTTTTATAGTTTTTCTTTGAAAAAAGTTGTCATAAATTTAACTTTTATGATCAAGTAATTGAAGATTTATGAACTGTGGAAGAAGTTTTTAGTTGCTAAGTGGTAATCCTTTGAGATTTTATAGATAATGTGCTGAAAATTGCTTTAATGACCAATTTAGGAATCGTTCACAAAATGGCATCAAACTTTTTCAGATGAATCTTTTCAACTTCACCAAGCTACAACTTCACTTCTAGCATCATTAACTTACCTCATTTGATCTGGTGGCATACCCTCCTCATAATTCTTCTCCATTTTTTCTTTGATCATGTGAATAGTATCTGCTTCATCACATGGAATTGCAAAGCATGGTCCAATCAATGTCTTGATGAAAATTTGCATTTTGTATGATTTTTCTTTTAATTAAATCTGCACTTGTCAATTGAATCAATTAAACTTTTGATATGACTTGCTGATTTGAGCGTTCACTATCTTTTATATAGTGGCATCGAATTCATATTAGATGTAATATGGCAATGAATATTATACGCAAATTGTAATGGATGTGTGAATGTGTTGTAATAAATATTCAGCCAGCCAATTTAAATGGCTTAATTGTAGTAACAAAGCATTTGTGTGTGTTTTTTGCAATGTAAAATTTATAGGAATTGAGGAAATTTGTTGGAATTAATGAAAAAAAGGCAATTTGAAATTTTTATGATATTTTAGGGAAATTTATTGCTTAAAGTTTTGGATATTATGATGTTGTTCCATTTATTGTAATAATAGTATGTCGTAAAATTGCTATGCAAAGAACTTTTAAGGCATTGTATGACATAATTTGAGGATTAATTTTACGATCTATTTAGAGATAACTTTTTTGATGGGGATTGGACGCATATGGTGCCTAAAATTTGCAAAAAAATTGTTATCTGAGTCTTTGAGACAAACTAGACATCACTTGTGAATGAAGTTCTGATTATAATCTGATTTTGACTGGAGATTTTGATACAAATACACATGCTGTAAATCAGAAAAACGTTACTAATCTAACCATAATGAAATTGGTAATTACATTGTATCCGGACATCATTATACACCCTTCATATTGTGGATATGAGTAAGAAACCCATCAGCATTCCATTTCTTTAAGGAAAAATCTCGGCAATTATCTCAGAAAAATCAATAAATTCCAACCTAGTCACCCACAATTACAGCAATCTCATCGTCGTTCATTAAAGCACTTTGATTTTTCTCTTCGATACTTCCACTCACACGCCTACACTCAATTCAAGGAAGTGTTAATGAAAGTAAATTTAAACGATTGAAGGATTTTTTCTAGTTCATGGTGAAGGCGAATTTGTTGTGTTTTTTGTGTGTGCCCAAAACAAAAGTTGAACAGCTGTGCGTAATTTTCATCTCGTATCCATTGATGTATATGAACATTAGTCTACAAGGCGTCTATCTCACATCGTCAGCATTTTTCATCTATGGAACTTTTCTGTATAGGTTGTACAACTCCATATCATTCTAATGATGCTTGCGATAACACGTCTTATGGCACGTGGAGATGAATCATATACACTTGTGCGTGAATATTACTCTCTCATGTTTGCTGTTGTTATGGAAATATATTGCAAACAATATTCATTACATAAGGGAAATGATAAAACTAAATTGTGCTTGTGGTCAAAGTAAGATATCCGATGAATATGTGAATATATGAACTCATCACTAATTATGATTCTGTGAAATTTCATGATTCTTATATAAAATTGAGATTAAAGGTTGAGTCTAGAAATCATGGGTCAACGGCCCCTACCAAATTCATATACATATACAGAGCTCATGACTCCAAGAAAACACAATTAATTTTATGCTTCAAAAATCTTCTAAAATGTCATGAACTCTTTCAACTTTCTACCTTTTACACAATGCCAACATAATTATTATATAAACCGGAAAAGGCACCCCAAGAAGGTAACAGTAAATCCACAATTTCACCTTCACATGTCACCTCACATCAACGACTTCATTTAAAGTTACAAGAAGAACATAATCCGACATTCATAACCTTCCTACATCATGAAACGTACAACATGCTTAACTCATATCATATAATAAAATAAACTTCAAGTACAAATACGAAAATTGGATCTAAATTTAGAACAATGGAATTATCAGTTTACACGATTTTGATCCTTTCGGCAATTTATTTTGTATCGCAGGCTGTTCTAAATTTATCAAAACGCCAATGAAGAGTTTTTTGTAACCTTTGACTTGAAAGCTTCGTGGCACGTACTATGTACAACGAAGGGAGGAGGAAGATTTTCATCAAGTCAATACATCAAGCTTCTATATTGTGCTATATGTCAAGATTAATGTAGAAACTGTCAGCAGATGTTTTTGAAACAAATCTTTTTATTGTTGACACAAAAATTTCATCAGTGGACTTTAATTAATGAACAATAAATAACATAGTAATTAATTAATAATTGAAAACAGGCAGGGGGAGATTCACTTCTTCACTTTCTCAATTTATTGACCACCACGAAGTCTCAGCACGATGTGGAGTGTTGTGTTGTGAACAATATTGTAGTCAGAGAGCAACCTTGAATCGTCAAGATTCTTTCCAGCATAAATCAAGCGTTGTTGATTTGGAGGCATTCCTTCTTCGTATTTCTTTTCAAGCTTCTCCTTTACACTTTGAACTGTGTCGTCTTCATGGCAAACGATGGCATGGACTGGGCCGGTGAGTGTCTTTACGAAAATTTGCATCTTTCTTTCTTTACTGTTACTGGTTATACCTTGAGATTATCACTGAACTATGTGGAATAAGGAAAATTGCTTTTGCTTTTATAGTCATTGAGATGTCATAAATTGTTGACCTTCATTTCACTTTCATTATGAATTTTGAATTAATAAATTGAGTCATCAGAAATATTAAATAAGATCTGAATGTAGTTGTGGATTAATATTAGATTAATAAGAGTTAACAATAATAAATAATAATATTTTGCTGCACATTATTAAATCTTTAGTCATATTGCTGATAACAGAGGCGCATCCAGAGGGGATCAAAACATTTCCCTCCTAATGAGAATATTTCAGTATCTAAGAGATTTTAGAAATGCGCCCAAGTATCTTCATTTGTCCATTATTTCATCCTAACTTCAAGATTTACTGCAAATATTTAAATTTAGTTTATTTTTGTATATTTTCATTTTTATTATTTATTACGATATATACAAATTGAGTAATATACAAATATTCTATCACATGTATGTATATATACTTTTTTGATGTAATGAATGTCTAGTCAAGATCATTTAAATTCTAATTTTAGCCTCTCTCTCTTTTTCACACTGCGCTGAATTTATTTCCTTCTTCTTCGCTTATCGAAAATCGAGCCAAGAAACAAAATAAAAAGTCAGTCGAGAAATAATAAAAACCGAAGAGAATTACGAAAGATTTTACTTTAGTTGTTTATATATATAAAGCAATTGAATGAAATCAATCATTTCTCAATCATTTGTTGAGCAGTGCCTTTGCTCTGTTGGGTATCATACACGAGCACCAAATTAAATTTTCACGGTGTTTATCGAAAAGATTTTCAACTTGATTCTGACAGGAAAAAGAGCAGTGAACTTTTCCTCATCCGAAGCATTAGTCATGAGTCAGCTGAAATCGATTATCAGGAGAGAATATTTATGAAATAGCAAGTTTAAAGATTTGCACGCAGAATGGGAATTTAATTATAAAACTTTCGCTTTTCATTTACTTGTTTTTAATCAAATAAGTCTGATAGTGAAAACTCTAGCCTTTTGTTATGTAAAGGCACAAAAACCAGCTCATAAACTTGCTAATTTATCCTAGTAATCCTGAATATTTCATTCATAAAATTCATTACTACAATAAAAAGAAGGAAACTTCAACACTATTCGTCACAAAAAAACTAAAGTAATATCCATGTAAATGCAGCAAAAATTTATGCCCAGAAAGATTCCAGTACTTCCTATTGCCTACATAAAATTTACATAATTCTTATAGAAATTTATGGAACATCTTCGACAATGATTATCATTAGTCAACTACAGCTTCAGTGAATTTCTGGCTTTTATGCATCAACTAGTTGTTGATTTAATACATTTGTCATCTTGTAGACCAAATAAGTCAACAATATTCTTGAAACGCCTTAAAAATATTCAGCTATCAATCATGTCCGGAACAATCATTAATTTCATGTCTTACTGCCCTTAATGTGGAAATTAAGGAAGCTTTAACTTTTCTGCTGTGTTATTATTAAGAAAGTTGATACTCAGGATTGTAGTCAGATTTTACTGACGACATTTAAGTCACGCATTAATCCTTTTTCCTCAAGTATCTGGATATTGATACTTTCTTGATATGCCTTAGGATATCCTTCTCCTGACTTGCCTCTGTCAAAACCAACATCCTGATTGATGAACAAGTGTGGATTAAATGATGAGAAACATGAGTTTTTATGACTGAGAAAATTAATCAACTTTTGCGTCGACAGGTTTAATTTATTTATTTGTTTTACGAGAAAACTATCGTGGATATGTGTGCGTATTAGGAAATGACCTACTTTGGAGGATATGGAGTAATTTATATAACGAAAAATGATAAGAAGATAAAGCAGGGGAGAATAACTTACTGCTCATGTCCAAAATATGATAAATGTGGTCAAAAAAGTGTTGGAAATTAAGCTTAATTAGACCATAAATATGAGCATTAATTACTTGAAATGAGTGCTAAAATAAAAAAAAAAAAGGCCAATAAAAACGCAGTCAGAATTTTTGCCCATGGCCATTTCTTTTTTAATGCAGTAATATTTCACATAATATTCCATGTATCATACATAAATATTATTTCTGTATAAAAATTCACATAAATCATGATGATTATAGGAAAGAAGTCAAATATTTTTTTATTTATGTTATTTTTTGGTACTGCCTGCCCAAGTAAGAAGAAGCAAAAATATTTTTGTAGGATCAAAAATAAGAAAGCCATGAAATTAAGAGCATTCAGTTGATGAATTTAAATTTTGTTTATTGAAGCATACACAAAAAGGTAACCCAATAAGGGTGGTCCATAAGTGATATGTTAAGCATTTGAAAGAAGGAGTAATAATTTGCTTGACACAGAGGTGAGAGAAGAGTTTGAATTCATAACTTTTCATTTGTCGTCACATGTCAATTGCCCTTTGAAATAAAATGTGTATGTGGCAGTTAAAAGATCTCTGCTTTCTTTAAATGTCCTTTACATACAAAAGGAACTAATTGAAAAAGACTCGTGTGGCTTCGACTCCTACTTCAAAGGCCAATATTGAAAGTAAATTGAGTGAAAACTAAATTTGGACTGATTCTGATGTTCAAGCTCATTGCAAATTCATACAAGTATATTTATGTTAAATGAATTGAAAATGCTTTTGGATCTTTGAGCAATATAAAATATTAAATTTAGCGAAAAATATGAATTGCTGTGGGCGACTTTTGATTCGATTTGATTTAACTCTGTTTGAGTTTTGGATATCAAAGAGAATTTCATTTAGAAACTTCAAAGTTTCATTAAATTGATCAAATAAAATGAAAATTATTGAAAATTGATGAAAAGACATTTCAATATAGAATCATTGACCTTTACAAGGTCATTAAATTGGCATATTAATTATTTTAACATGCTTTAAAGAATTTTAAATGTTATTAATAAAAATTGTCTCAATCAGAGTTCCAATAGTCTAGAAACTTTACATGCCTCATCACATTTTCCAAGCACAAGACATATAGTTTCTAGACTCTATTGCTTGAGTGTTTTCTTTCTTTAAGTTTCTAATCTCAGTCACCAAACTCAACCCTCCTTATGTCCATGAAAAATGTTTTTCTTATCGATTCTGTTTCTTTTTATTCTCGTCTTTGCTTCAAGTCTATATTATGTATTCAGAACAAGAAATGTGTCTATAAGTTAATTTTAAGTTGAACTATTTTGAGTCAAACAAGCTCAAATAATCATTTCTTTAGATACAATATCATACATATTTTTTATGATCTTACTTACACAATCATGTGAGCGTCTGCATAAATAAAGAATAGCGTCTGCATATTGTATAATTTTATGTTTAGATCTTTGTGGGATAATGTTTTATGTGTTAACTGAACTATTATTATTATGAATCTAAATATAACTAGTGAGGAAAGAAATTTCATCACATCTCAACAATCCTTAAAAAATTAGGATCTCTAGTAAATCGTCATTTCCCATTCATTTTTACAGCAACAAAATAACACAAAAAAAAAACATTTAACTTTCCTAAAAGTACAAAAAACAGCCTGAAGACGTTTTTCTTTCACAATAAATTCCATTGTAGAAAATCATTAAATCTCACCAGCGGTTCCTCAATTAAATTGCTGACTGACAAGTCATGATGTCAAAGACGTGATATCATCACATGCCAAAGAATTTTCATTCAATTTTCAAATAAAAATGCATAAAATCTCGTCATCTGCCGTATCAGCATTCACGTCTGCTCCCTTTTTCATGTCGCAAAATATTCCATTTAACCGCATTCAATGGTCAATGTAAGAGATTATAAATCTTCATTTCTAAGCAACGTGACGATGTACGTGGGATACTAAGCGACGGGCTATTTTTAAACGAAACAATGAGATGATAGCTAGGAGATTGGAGATAAAAATTTTTATGGATGCAGTTGTATATTGTTAGAAAACGGCAAACAATAGAGGAATTATAGTTATGAAGGGTCAGTAAGCATGTTTTAATGAAAATTTTAGTGGATTAATGCTATGGTACGCCAACGAGTCCTTATTTTCGATATTGAATTTTTTTGGGACCTTATTTTCGAGCATAAGTTCAAATTTTTTTCACACGTTAAATTATTAATGTCTAATATCTCTAATTAATAGTTTAAATATTTGTTTTTCATCATCAAAATGTTAAACGAATCCACTCAAATGTAATGAATCATTACTGATTTACTAAACAATTAGTGCAAGTGAATTAATAACATTTTTATTTCCAATGTAAACAACAAAAAAAATTTATAATATTTTTGAAAAAAAAGCATTTTAAACTAATGTTTGCTGCATTTATCACCGATTAGACGATTAAATTAGTGTTAAAAGACATAGTAGAATGATTTAATTCTGTAATCATAAGTAAATTAAGTCAAAAATTGCGAAAAATTGAAATTTTCATAAAAAAAAGTTTTTCGAAATTGCGAAATTTTGTTCGAAAAACATTCGAAACGAGTTTGAATTTATTTCGAATCAACGTTGACAACGTCTCTTGGCACATCATAGGATTAATGTAGAGAAGGAGATGTTGATGATTTAACTTTGACTAATGCTGAAAAATTGGAAATTTATGTTTTTTATTTGATGCAGATCAATCCTCAACATAAGTAAAACATGCACAATTTTTAAACTTTTAAACAACACATCATCAACTGCACCTTAAATAACATTTGAAGCAAAAATTATCTCATAAATATCACTCAATTCAGTTTTCAACTTCCGATAATCCACTAAAAAGCATAACCATTATGCAGCTTAGCGTGCTTGATTTCAACCCTTAATTTTTCCAATTTCATATCCAAATAAGGATTTTTCCATACATAAAAGGTGCTCTTTCATTCTCTTTACACGCCGCCAATAAATCTGCATTAAAATCATAAATGCTAGAAATTTTTTCCAATAAATCACATGGAAAAGGAAAAATTTATCCAGTCACGTTCAGCT